CAATGTGTGAGCAGCGCTCAGGCAGAAGCGGGGAGGGGGAGGACTTGAAGGGCCCTAACCTTTCACCTTTGCCCCACCTGTCTGTCTGCTTCTGCCTTGATTATCACACTTGGCAGGGTCCTAAAGAACATTGCCCTAGAGGAACAGACTTCAGTCCTTAGATCCAGTTCCCTGTGGGCTCTTGTTCGTTTGGCAGCCTCCTGGCCCCTTTGCCTAAGTTGTTCCCCTGACTCAGTAGGCAGTCAAGTCGTGTGTGTGTGTGAGAATAAAGACATGAGATGCTCCATGCTGCTCTACTGAGGCCGGGAGGCCAGCCTAACTCTGAAAATTCAAGGCTCCTACACTGTGCTGCTAGTTACACGTTCAGAGAGTGCGGGCCAGCAGTGTGGCCCTGCCACAGAGCAGAAGTCATGGCCCACAGAAAGGTGGCTTGACCCCACCCAGGTCTCAGTCCTCACCTCTTCCATGTGGACTCATGTAGGAGAACTGGAAGTCACAGTCCCACAAGTAGGCTGAGGTAAACAATACCCCCCCCCCCCATACACACACCCCCGACACACACACCTCAGGCAAGTCTCTGGAACTGGTTTCTGTACTAGGAGCTTTAGGGCCAGGAAAGTAGCTGAGCTGAGCTGGCAGATTGGAGCCAGATCCAGGTGGTACTGAAAACTCTGGACCCTGGCAGCTCTAGGCCAAGTACCACCAACATTTTCCTGGGCCCTGAGGGAGGCAATGTGCCCCTTGTGACCAGAGAAGGCCTGGCAGCAGTCATGGCTGCCGCGGAGTGCTTCCGTTCTTCCTCCCCCGCCCCATCTCATTTCTAACCATGTTGTCACCTTTCTGGACTGGTATCATGGGCACAGTCCCCAGGGGGACCCTCAAGCCTGGGGACACCAAGACCGCTCTGAATCTGCTGCTGCTTTGTCTGCAGCATTATTCTGTTCTCGTATCTAACTCAGGTGTAGCCCGGAGTCCCAGCTGGCATGACTCTGCCCCTCTGCCCTGAGCTGGCCTGGCCTTTGCTCTAGTTGCCCACCCCTCCACACATCTTCTCTTCCCCTAAAATGGATTGTTCTGCGACAGTGTCCCCGTTCCCTGGAGCAGGACCTGTCACTGGAGTAGAGACCTGCTGGATAATGAAAGAACGGAATGGCCGACGTTGGGCCGGTCTCCTAGAGCCCTCAGAGGAAGGCTCAAGCAGAGGTTTGCGCACCTCGTACAAGGTCTTTGGGCCACCCACAGAGGAGAGCGATAAGGCTGGAGATGAGGGAAGCAGCCACGGGTTGGTTTGGGAAGCGGCACAGTCAGAAATTGTACCCCTTGGAAAATGAAGTCAATTAGGAAGCTCAAGGAAGGATGGGAAAGTCCTAGATACGGTGGGGCTGCTGCGAAAGCCACCCTCTGCTGCGAGCTGATGTCTGAGCAGGGTTCAAGGTGACTCCCCAGTTGCAGGGCTGCCCTGATGCCCTTTTCTGAGGCCCGCGAGGAAAATGCTCCAGACAGGAGGGACAATAATGAGCAAGTGACTCTCGGGATATATGCTCAGGGGACGGGCTCTGAGACAGCCGCGTGGGTACCAAAGACATCATGGCCCAGGCAGGGCTGACCTCCCAAGGCTACTGGGTAAACTCATAGCCGGCGGCTCTCCATCTGTGCCTCTCCCAACCCCCACCCTCCCAGCTCACCTAGCTCACACTAATGTTTCAGAGCGCCGACCCAGCCCGGTTCACCTCCATCTGCCGACAGAGGCCCAGGGAGTCAGAGAAGCAGCTGCTGTCACAGACCCCGGGGTCTGCCGTCATAGATCCAGGGTGAATCCCAGCTCTGGCCCATCGTTACCGTTAACCTGTACAGTGCAGCTCTCTGTAATCAATGCTGGAACAAGAACAATCGTAGATGCAAGTGTCTGGCCAAGCCTGACTTTGAGGTGGCCATTGTCAGTAGACCATCCCAGATGGCAGTGTGGGAAGGGAAAGGAGGCCTGGGTGAACCTGGGATGCGAGGCTGGCCTGCGTGCTGGCTGGGACAAAAACCCAAGGCCTGGGTTTGAATTCTAGCTCCCCCCTGCTCAGCAGCCAAGACCGGGGCAAGGCACTTATTTCCCTCTGAGTCTAGGATGAGGTTCTTGTCCCATGGCTGGGGTCTGGCCTCTGCTAAGGGTTCCTTAAGGGGGTGGGTTTCAGGGTGCCTGTCACTGTATGTCATGGACATATTGCTAGGTACATTCCCCGAAAGCCTTGTTCCTTCCCTGCCCTGTAAGGCCAGACAAAACTCATTGTACTCCATCTTGGCATAGGGATGTCTGGCCCGGGAATGGGCTGGCAGGGCCTCTAGGTTTCCAGGCTGATGTTGTCCCCTACTCGCAGCTTTTAGTCTGACATTCCCAGACCCTCCCCAACCTGTGGCTGTACAGGAGCCGAGTCTCTAGCAGACCCAAAAGGAAGCAGTGTTCTGCCAGGGAGTTTGTCTGGATAGACAGGGGACCCTGAAGGGGCAGTAGTCATCTGTGGTGGCTGCCATTGTCCGCGGCATTGGCCCTGCGCCCCAACTCTTCATCCGCCCTGATTTTTTGGCCTGTGCAGAGGTGGCTGCTGAGCTTGGCTTAAGGAAGCAAAGGCAGAAAGCGGGGGTGGGGGTGGGGGGTGTGTGCACCTACCCTAGTGCTCCCAGTTGGCCACCCTCAACACAGGCTCCACAGTCAAGTGTGTACCCCCGAACCTAGCTGTGTGGCTGTTTGCCTCTCTCCTCTTCCTGGCCGGCCATTTCCATCCCTACCCTTGAATGCTGGAAGTCTGTCTCGGTGTTCCTGGAGGTCCCTGCTTGGATACATTCAGAAGGCGGGGTGGGGGTGGGGGGGTTGTTCCAACCATGGTGGGGTATTCAGGAGAAGTACACTTGCCTCTCTCACAGGGGCTGGGGTGGACCTCCAAGTTAACTCTGCTAGCCCCTTCCTCCCCCTGCCAATTAGCTATGAACAGCTTCCCCAGGGCCAAGGGTCCCCAGTCCGGCCCCTAACTGGCCTTCTTGGCCAATCCCCACGCCCCTTGCTGCCACCCTACACTCTCCAGGCTCATAGGGTGCTCTTCCTCAGTCTCTTCTGCCGTTACATTTGGGTCCTTAGCCCCCACCACCAGGCCCTGTGCTGAGTACTCCCACGCCATTCCTCCTGGAAATGACAACGCCAACCCACTTTTATAGATGCTGAAACCAGGACTCATAGGCAAACGATCGTCCAAGTTCACCCCACGAGCCAAGGGTGTAGAGACTCGAACCCAGTGCTGCCTGGCTGTTCTCATTTCACCCCCACATCCCCCTCCTCCCTTCCTGCTCCTGGTCCCCCGCCCACACAGATTGACCCCCCCCTTGGATTTCTGCAGCAGGCAGGCACGAGGTGTCTGCAGTATTTCATCCCAGGCCACTACTACCCTCTCCGGTCCATGTGGCTTCCTCACAAACTCCTTCCAGCAATGGGCCTGGGTCTCACCCCAGCTGCCCTTGGACAGGAATGCTAGCGTGTCCTGGAGAGGCTGAGAGGGCAGAGGTAGCATCTGGAGGAAGGACAGCCACTCCGCACTCAGTGCTGGCATGCAAGCCTGCTGCAAGGAGCCCAGGACCTGGACAGGGCCTTCGCAGCCAAGAACCAGGGACAACTTCCTGCCTTCATGTGCAGATTCCCACAGGCGTCTGCTGGCTCTGTGCCCTCCACCTGCCAGCCACAGGGATGACCCTGTCCTTCAGGTGCCCCCTGCATCAGGGTCCCTCCGCTAGCCCTGAAGGGGATCAAAGAGAAGCAGGGTGTGTGTTTGGTAGGACGGTGACTAACGCGGCTGGGCTTCTGCCAGCATGTCCGCGGGATGGCTCAGATGGATCTTGGGCCTCCTTGCCCTTGCACTGCCCACCGTTGCCCTACCCACCCCTGCATGCCGGTCTCTCTCAGCTTCTCCCTGTCCCTGAGTGTGCACTCTAGTACCAGGGGATCAGGAGTGGAGGGACACAGTGAGACCTGGAACTGTGGAGCCAGGGTCATGGTTGGGATGCTGGAAGCAAAGGAGGGAATGAAGCCAAACCTGCCTGGGGTTTGGGAAGACATGTTGCCTCTGTCCCAGGCATGAAGAGGAAGGCTTCTGTGTGGCCCAGAATAAGAGGCGATAAAGTAAAGGAAAACTGGCCTGTGCCGTGTGCCCCTCCCAGACCCTATCACCTCCCACCTTTCCCTCGACCTGAAGGAGGCTCTGCTTTGGTCCAGACAGGACAGGACCTGGGTTTCACAGGGTGAATGCTAAGGTCAGGTCAGGGACAGCATCCTTCCATCTGTCCCGCCTGTGTTGAGGCCGAGAGGCCCCTCTGTACCTGAGTGCGGGCTGGCTTTGGGAAGCGGTGTCTGGTGCCTGTGGTGCAGTGAGCATGGGAGTTGCTTTCTCTTTCTCGCCACAGTCTACTCGCCCAAAATTTGCCCCAGGCCAGGCCTGGACGAAGAAAAGACTTTATGAAAGGCTCCCCCTTGAGCTCCTACTATTGTCCTTTCTGTGTTGGTCCCTCCAATGCATTCCTATGGGCTCAGATGAGACCCCAGAGCTGAGACCCCTCGACTCCAGCGATAGGAGACTGGCCCATTCTCTGGGTAATATCAGCCCCTCCCCCAGCAGCCGACAAACATCCTAAGGGACCAAGACTCCCTTCAGTTCAGAGTCCCCGACTCCACTCCACGTGGGTCCTCAAGAGGCCTGGGGGAGGGGAATCTTGAGCATACCCCCGCCCCCAATCTCAGCAGAGAAGGAGCTAGGAAGGCCCCAGGGGTCTCACTGCGCCCCAGGACACTCAGTCCGGGAACCCCAGCCGCTGCCTGCTGCGCTGATCTTCAATAGCCAACAGCCTGCGGTCCCTATTCCCGAAAGGCACAAGGACTAGGGTCGGGGGAGGATTGGGTTCCGGCCTCTGCCTTTCCCTTCCAGGCTTTGCTATCTCGACTGAGCCTACCAATCCGGCCACTTGTTGTCGCCACCGCCTCCCGGCCGCTTTGGCAGCGCACGGGTGGGGGGTCCCTCGCAGGGCCGCAGAAGGGGATGAGGGCAGCCCCGGCACCCGGCAAGAGCGGGGCAGTCGCCCTCTCCCCTTCTCCCGCTGCCGGAGCGGATTGGATTCTGAACGCGACACGAGCGGAATGTCAATAGGAGCGCAGAGCCACGGGCGGGCGCCGTAGAAGGGATCAGGATGCCGGCGCTCAGGCGGCGGGCGCGGAGGGCACAGCTCGGACCCCCAGCTTCAGCCCCCGCCGCCTTGCCGCACCGTCACCGCGGGCCATGCGGCCCAACGATCCCGCTGCGGGGCCCCGCAAGTTTCCGCAGCGCCGGGGGCCACGCGGGCAGGGGCCGCGCTGTCCCCGCGCCGCGGCAACCCCTACCGCGGAGCACTGGGCAGCCGGGCCGTCCCGCCTCCCGCGCAGTCGTTCATCCGAGTCGTGCAGCAGGGTCCCCGGCGCCCCCCCGGCCAGCCAGCGCGGCACCTGGGCGCACAGGTAGGAGGGCTCGTGGCGGGGGTCCCGGCGGGGCACTCACCCTCCAGCTCGTCCTCAGGAATATCCACCGGGCGCTGCTCCGACAGCAGGTTGGGCACGGTGTAGATGCCCCGGTACATCAACGCCGCCGTCACCGGGTGGAACGGCATCTTGGAGGCTCCGCGCCCGCCCGCCCGCCGCAAACTTTGAGGCCGGGGCTCATGGGCCGCCGGTGGCCCCGGGGGCGGCCGGAGCGGGCCGGGCGCGCGGTGCGGCGCGCGGTGGCGGCGGCGAGGTACGGGGCACCCGCCCGGGACCTAGCGCCCCCGCGCCCCGGGCCGCGGGGCCATTCCGCCAGCTCCCTCGTCGGGCTCCCGGCCGGGGCCTCGCAGGGACAGCGGGGGCGGCGCCGCTCCGGCCTCTCGGCTCCGGCTCCGACCGCCGCACGCTGCGCTCCCTCCGCGCTGCCCCGCGCGCTCTGCGCTGCTCGCCGCCCGCTCGCTGGTGCGGCCACCCGGCCCGCCGCTCCGGCTCCCGCCGCCGCCGCCTGCACTCTAGCTCGCTCGCTTGCTCGCTCTGTGCGGCGCTCGCCGCGCTCCCGCCTCCCCCGCCCGCCCCTCCCGCCCCCGCCCCTTCCCGCTGTCGGCCCCTGAGCGGCCGCCCCGAGCCTGCCCGGGAGCCTTCTCTCCGGTTCGCCCCGATTCTGCTTTCCCCCAGTCTGCTTAGGATTGTTGTCTCCCGCACCCCACGTTCTCAGCCAGCGGGACCACGGTGGTGTGGACTGGGGGTGGAGCTGTTCCTTGTACCCACCGTCCCACCTGCCCCTCTAGCCCTCCCCCAGCAAGCGCGGAGAGATGAGAACTAACGACTAGAGACCCAGAAAGGTGAGGTTTCCCTAGGTGCGGGGATCCTCAAAACCAGTGATCCTCGTGTTGGTGCCAGGAGAGCCTCCAAGGTGGGGAAACTGAGGCTTAAAAAAGGACGTTGGCCAAGGTCACCAAGCAGGACCAAGCACAGATCTGCTCTGCAGGAGACTACCGGCCTGTGACTGACACCAGCAGTTGACTGGATCCCACACGGGGCTCTAGTCCTGGATCCTCCAGTCCTGGATCCTCCTCGGGGCCCCTGGCACTCAGCTTGCAGGGCAGGAGCCAAGGTCTGTCTCATGTCCCCAGGGGCAGTGAGGAGGAGACAGATGACCCAGGGCCTGCTGGTCACATGGCTGCAGGTTAGACCTTCCTCAGATCTTGAGCATGTGTGCTACGGGGGTGGGAACAAGTGTCTGAGGGGCAGCATGTGCATGTGTTTATCTTATTCTTCGTCCAGGACACTGTGTACATGCGTTTTCAAATCCACATGCCGATGAGTGTGCATGACCACCTACGTGTGCCGGGACTGTGAGCTGGCAGGGAAGGGCATAAGCCAGGAGGCAGGTGTGGCCAAGTGTGAAGGCCCTTGAGTTGGGAGTGGTATGCACACATGGATGGGCACAGATATGTGTGCACAGGTACAGTTATGGGATATGGTGACCTTCTGGCCTGGGTGGGCCTCAGCTGGAACCCCCGTCTGAACTATCTCCCTGCCCCCTTGGGTCCAATCAGCCGAAGGCCCCAGCGGGAAAGCTGATTGCCACATCCCTGCCTGGCCATGCCCTTCCCAAGCTGATTACATTTTTCTGCTTGTTTCTGCTTTTGTTGATGATTAGTCATAGCCCTGACTTGGGCCGGGAGAGAGGGGGCTCGGTGAGAGACACCAGCCCCAGCCACCCTGGGCCAAGGCAGCATTTGGACATGCTCTGAATCTTCACAGGCATATGAAACCTGTCGAGAAGCCAGGCAAACCCCAGCTGTCATCTGAATGTCTGCCTCAGGCCTCTGGAGCAGCTTGCTGCCTGTACAGACCTGGGGTTGGAGTTGTAAGAACTCCCAGAAAAGTCCCCCAAAGCTCTTCTTGACCATCCACCGAGTCAGCTGGGTCCTTATGACCCCTTAGGACTTCTGACGGAGCAGAGCTGTGGCAAAGGAAGAATCAGCCACAGACCCAGAGACATTGCATCTGCTCTTGATCTAACACCTCCCTTCGATGGGACGTCAGTCATGTTCCTTAACCTCCCAGGGCCTCAGTTTCCCCACATGTGAGGTAAATGATACCGCTCAGGCAGGGAGGAAAATGAAGTGATCTAAGTGAATGGCTCCTGACCTCCCGGGATCTCTTGGGGTTTCCTGTTAGCACAAAAATCCCCCCATGGGAATACAAACTACTAATCATGGTGTCAAGTATTGATCAAAGGGTGATCTGTAAGCACCTCACTTGCTAAGCCTTCCCAGACAGTTTGCCAAGGGAGCTGCTGACAGACTGGCAGGAAGCACACCTCTTGGTTCTTTCTTGGGAGGCCGCCACAGCGGGACAAGGCAGCTCCCTCCGGTTCCCTGAAGCCGCTGGCCTTGCCGCCTGGTCAGGGAAAATCTCAAAAGAAGAGGCAGAAAGGAACGAAGAACAAGTCAAGTGGGCATCCTCCATCCATCCAGGCCTTGCGAGTCTATGCTGAGGTGCGGGTGTCCATGGATACAGGAACTGGCCCCCAGACACTGGCCTTGGTCTGCTTCCAAGGGGTCAAGCTGTCCACATCCTCCAGGTCAGAGTGGCAGGCCACTCTGGGATGATGGCTTTAGCATCACAGTGAACCACGCCCCCCTGGGCAATCTTGGACATTTCGGTCCCCTGGTATCTCAAGCTGGTCCCTCCACTCTCCCCTGATGCAAAGCCACAGCCCAGGACATTCTACCCGCTGACCCAGAGGGCTGCCCTTTCTGTATAGTACCTGTACCTGCTCCTCTTTGCCTGCTAGCTGGGGCCATAGGACATAGCTGGGCTATGCATGCAAATCGCCTGGTCCCCCTCCCCAATGCCTTGCTCTCACTCACAGGCAAGGACATGCCTGCTGAGGGAGCTATAGAGACCAAATCCAGCTATAGAGTCTTCTGAGGCAGAGTTGGAGATGAGGCCCAAGGCAGAGGCAGGGGCTCCCGAGGCCAAGCTCTGGCGTGTGCTGGTTCTCCCTGCTCTTCTAGACTCTGGGAACCTGGCTGCTCTGGGAAGCACTGTCAACCTCCCCCACCCTCCAGTGCTGTGTGTGATATTCAATGGACGGCCCCCATGTGCCAGCCCCTTCATTCAACGCCAGCATGAAGGCAAGGCACTGCTGTGCCTAGGGCCCACAGAGCAAGGGCCACGGGGCTGCAGAGTGTGGCTGATACCAAAGTCCTGCTGTCTGATGTCGGTGGGGCAAAGCTTTTACAGAGAGATATGGAGGTAGGACTTTGAAAATCTCAGGGCATGGGGTCAGGAAACGTGATGTGAGGAACAGTCAGAACTCTAGAAGCCAGAGCTCACTAGCAGGGTCCTACTGAGCCTCAGTTTGTCCATCTATTAGATGGGAATGCATCTAATGCAAAACAATAAGGCTCTGATTTCATCAAGTCAGGAGAAGTCTGTTGTGGAGTGAAGAGGTTAAAGATGTGAAGATCACTCTTAGCTTTAGAAGGCAGCTCTGGGGGCTGGAGAGATGGCTCAGCAGTTGAGAGCACTATCTGCTCTTCCAGAGGAGCCGGGTTCAATTCCCAGTACCCACCAGACAGATCACACCCGTCTGTAACTCCAGTTCCAGGGGATCCTGTGGTGATATTTTGTTCTTGTTCTAACAAATAAAGCTTACCTGGAGATCAGAGTGAGAAGCCAGCCGCTAGTTAACCATAGAGACCAGGCAGCAGTGGCATATGCCTTTAATCCCAGCACTAGGGAGGAGGAAACAGGAAATGGTGGCTGGGCAGAGAGGAATATAAGGCGGCAAAGGCAGGCTTGGTCCTTTGGTTTGAGGGTCCAGTAGAGGTAAGGAGTAGCTCATGTGGCTGTTGTTACTTTCTCATTAGCATTTAGAAAATACAAAGTTAATAAAGCATTATACAATCTATTGCTGGGGTTTATTAAACCTCTTTTAGAGGTCAATTTGCTCTTTCTATAACTGCTCTCCCTCTAGGAGTGTATAGTGTTCTTGTAACGTGCTTTATATTGTAACACTCATGCAGACACATGGGCAGGCAAAACACCAATGCGCATAAAGAAATCATGAGAAAGGCAGGTTCTGAGTCCTCATCCCTCCGACTCCCCACGTGTGGGTTGGACTTGGGCAGAGGACCGGGAACCCTGTGAAATGAGTGTGAGAGAGAATGAATGCCTGACAGTCACCCAGCTGCCCTGTCCTCTCTGCACATCAAGGGAGCAGACGGTGCGATCCCAGGGTGTGAATTACGTCTGTCGCTCCCCATCTGGGGAAGGAGATATTGCCATCACTCTGCGCTCCTAGGGTGCCCACTGGGAGATGCATGGGCCTCAGGCCTTCTCAAGGGGATCTCATGGATCTCAGGGCTTATCCTTGGCAAAAGGGACTGGGGGGCCAGGCAATGGTAGTGCATGCCTTTAAACCCAGCACTTGGGAGACAGAGGCAGGCGGATCTCAGTGAGTTCGAGGCCAACCTGGTCTACAAAGTGAATTCCAGGACAGCTAGGACTGTTACATAGAGAAAACCTGTCTCAAAACATACATACATACACACACACACACACACACACACACACACACACACGGTCTGGAGAGTGCAGAAGGGTGATTCACTGAAAGCTTAAACTGTTTCCTCAACAGCCATACCAGCAAGAAGAGAACAGCTGCAGTTCGCCAACTCCAGAGACTCACTCTGTCCTCCCAAGAGCGGCAGAGTTCCTGCCCTGCCCAAGACCAGGGCCCCTGGAGGCCTCTCTTCTCAACACACATGCCCTGGCTGGATCTGCTCTCTGACACCGGCTACCTCTTGCCACCCACATTCAGCACCAGGGAGAGCGCCCAGTACGGCTTTGGCAGGCCTTGAGCTTAAAGGAAGTGGTGTAGGACCCGGGAGAGCCTGCCAAGACAGCCTGAACCAGGGACCAGAGGAAGCCAAACTTGAGGAAGGTAAGCACCAAGGTCACGTCTGCACCCTTGGCCACAGTGTTGCCAGAGCCAAAAGGCCTGACTGGAAAGAAGCGATGGGGTAGAGAGGCAGAGGTTGGGGAGAGGGGGTGTCTAGGGACAGCGGAGGCTCTGGCCTCTACGCCTTGGCTGGAGAATAACGTTGTTCCAAGAACCCAGTGGGGACAGTGTCTGGAGGGGAATAAAATATTCATCGTCCAGGCACTCACTTGATGAATAATGAAATGTGTGCGCTTGCAGACTCAGGCCGGCCAGGAGAGGGTGCCGTCTGGAACCCATGGGCTCCGTTTGCTCGGATCCCTGTCCTGTACTGAACACCCCTCTGAACCTTTGGAGCCTGGCTCCTGAAGGCGACAGGATCAAACATGACAGCATGACCAGTCGTCTGAGGGACGTGGAGAGGGCAGTCCTTAAATCTGTTTCTCCTCCAGAAGCAACTTGAGGACGGAAAAGAGCCCAGAGGTGTGGGATTCAGGGTGAAGGTGATGAACCCTGACTACAGGTTGTTACCGGCTTCGTGCCCTGACGGTGGCAACTGTCTGGGCCTCAGTTTTCTGTCTTGTGAAATGGGCCCAGGCTGCCAGCACACAGATTGCTACAAAGAGGTGCTTAGTAATGAAGGTGAAGGTAGCTAATGCCACTGGCCCTGGCTCTAGACTTTCTGAGCCTACTCTCTGGCTCCCATGATTCCCTGAGTCTAGGAGTGGCCTCACCTAGCTGAATGACAGAAGAGATGTGATCACAAATGGGGAGGCACTCAGGACCCTCAGGGCCATTGTTACCATAGAAACTGAGCCCACCAGACACACATTCACACATATGGCCCCTTATCCTGAGAAATACTGCTTGCATTGGGCATACGTTAAAAACTCGGTGAGAGCCTCCAGGGGAACAGAAAGAAGGCTGGAGAGAGGGAGAAATGGGCTAGGAAGAGTTTGGGGTGTCTTGTGCAGAAAGCAGCAGGGAGGGACCCTGTCCCTGTTAAGCGAGGCCTCAGTCTTCCCCTTAGAAAAGTAGGAGCCTCTGGCTGGAAACTGGCAGAACCACAGACTGTGAAGCTGACTGGGAATCAGGACTTGGCAAGGACGGAAGGAAGCCTTGGTGTCACCAGCCTGGCCCTTGCTCCTGCTCGTGGTTCCTTCCCTAAGCAATCACTGTATCTGGTATAGAGGAGACACAAGGTGGTGATAGCCCTGGCCTCCCAGACTCCTGCCTCAGTCTGTTGCTTACAAGTGCAGCCAACTGTCTGAGGTACCTGCTGGGTGCGTGTCAGGCCACGCTGGTGCCACAGCCACAAGTGATGTGTCAGTGGAAGTTACCTCTTCTGGCCAGAGAACGGCTAGGACCTGCGGTCCTCTCCTCTTCCAGTCTGCATGTGACATTAAGGCTTATTCCGGTGCTGAGATGTGTAGGCCTGTACCCTGGAGCTGTAGAGTTTGGGCTTATCTTCTGGGGACATCTATAGGGCAAGTTATTGTATCTCTAAGAATCTGGGTACCTCCCCTGGGGAAAAAGGGGAGCCCAGAAAGTATACGATATGAAGGAATTGATTCTGGGGTCCAGGACAGGCTAATCAATTCCATGGCTGTCCTTGATGTCAGGGACCTGTTTGCATACCTCTGGGGACAGGGCTCTCTGCCCAGAAGTGGCTAGCACGTGCCAGTTCCTGGACTCTGCCTTTGTATGCAGGGATTTCTCCTGCTTCCACACAAAGCCCTGAGGGTCGTAAAGGAGCACCTGTGTTCCCTGGGACAGGGACAGTGCTGAAGCGGGAATGCCCATCAGAGTGCGCTCTCCCCTCCTGCGTGCCTGTGCGCAGAGGAAAAGGTCGGAAAGGTCTGAACGGACACGAGGCTGGGATGAAGATGAGTTCCCCGTCCCTCATTCCGTGGCTCGGCTACTGAGATTAGCTTGGTATCAACCCAGGGCACTGAAGGGAAATGCTTTGTTCGCAGAGAGTGTGTGAGAGGTGACCAGAGACGTTGCCTCTGGAGGAGCTGGGCTCGGGGAGCCCCTCAGCCCCCCGTCACTGCCAGATCTGTGTGACACTGCCTTATAATCCGCTGGAGTCCCAGAGTTAGGGGACCGGGTCAGCTGGAGGCCTTGGGGGTGGCAGGTCCCTCATGGCCCACAGCACCCCATCATGTTGAGCCTAAGTGATGGTAACACAGCTGCAGTTAACTGGTAATTAATCCTGGACAGGGCAGCAATGGCGTTACTAATTGGATCGTTAGAGATTTGTGCTTTATGGCTGCGTAATTAGAGAAGCTGTAGGGGGCTACGGTGAATTGAAGGGGCATGCAGGGTTGGGGGCAGGGCATAGCAGACAGCACCCCTTACCAGGCCATAGCTGGGTCACCGCAGGGCCTCTGATCTGCTCGCCTTCCATGCTGTGGTCCTAGGTGTCTGAGTAGGGGGACTGGCAATAGCCCTACATGCCACCTCTCTGTGCTACTTGAGGGGACCCCACCCCAATCTCATAGCCCAGTTCTACAGGGGCAGAGGGACATTTCTTTATGTTCACCAGGCTCACGGGCCAGCTACAAAAGGTCCTCGTCTGATTGCTTATTGTTACCTTTTATGGAGCTAGGACTGGAGCCTTGCACACATTGGACATGTTATCTACCAGGGAGCAATGCTATATCTACCACAGAACACATGCTATATCTACCACAGAGCACATGCTATATCTACCACAGAACACATGCTGTATCTACTGTAGAACACATGCTATATCTACCACAGAGCACATGCTATATCTACCACAGAACACATGCTATATCTACCACAGAACACATGCTATATCTACCACAGAACACATGCTGTATCTACTGTAGAACACATGCTATATCTACCACAGAGCACATGCTGTATCTACTGTAGAACACATGCTATATCTACCACAGAGCGCATCCTTAGCTCCCAGGGGAAGATTTGAGAATAGGAAGGGCTCTTGTGTCCACTCTCTTAGTCGATTCTCAACGGAAGACACCCTTATGTGTGCTCTATGAATAATTTCTCATCACACATGTGATACATGCTGACCGGCCCTGGATACCAATATGGAACAGTTTTCAGGCACACATGTGAACCATGTGGGTGAGTGTGAGCAATTGTGGGGGCCTGGCTCCTGGCCCAGCCTCATGGGTACGGCATTGTAAAATGCACTGTGGGAATTAGGAAGGGGGAAGGCTTGAACTCAAAAAAAAAAAAAATCTAAAACGGCGCTCAACAAATATTTGCTGGATTAACTAATGAAAAAAGGAGAAAGAAGGGGAGTCTGGAAGACAGTCTAGAGAGGGCGGCCCCTGTCCTCCGTCTCACCCATTGGGCCCCAGCCTACAATGCTCCTCCAAACGCCCAGCTGTCCAGGTTGAAGCGCCCACCAGGCCAGCAGCGCCTGTTCCTCACCCCGGCCTCAGGCTCTCACTGTATTCCCGCACGCCCCTGACCTCTCCCTGCTCTCACTGTATTCCCGCACGCCCCTGACCTCTCCCTGTTCTCACTGTATTCCCGCACGCCCCTGACCTCTCCCTGTTTACCCTCCTGGCCCAGGGTCTTTGTGGTTTAACTCTCATCTGCCAGAAACGCTCTCCTCTTCGGGTTCTTTATGGCACACTTGGTTTGTTTGTTTGTTTTTTGCTTTTCGAGACAGGGTTTCTTATAGCTCTGGCTGTCCTGGAACTCACTCTGTAGACCAGGCTGGCCTCAAACACACAGAGATCCACCTGCCTCTGCCTTTTAAAGGCGTGCGCCAGCACTTCCTGGCCTTTTAGCTCATTCTTTCAGGTCTTAACTCAAAAGTCCAAGGCTTGTCTCTCCTTCCTTCCTTCCTTCCCTCCCTTCCTTCTCCTTCTTCAAAGATTTTTTTTAAAAAAAATATTTGTATTTAGGGGCTGAAGAAATGACTCAGTGGTTGAGAGCATTGGCTGCTCTTCCAGAGAACCCAGGTTCAATTCCCAGCACCCACATGGCAGCTCACAACTGTCTGTTATTCCAGTTCCAGGAGATCTGACACCTTTACACCAGTGCACATAAAATAAGTTAAATAGGCCGGGCGGTGGTGGCACACACCTTTAATCCCAGCACTCGGGAGGCAGAGGCAGGCGGATCTCTGTGAGTTCGAGGCCAGCCTGGTCTACAAGAGCTAGTTCCAGGACAGGCTCCAAAACCACAGAGAAACCCTGTCTTGAAAAAAAATAAAAAAAAAAACCCAAAATAATAAGTTAAATAAAATTTTTAAAAATGAAAAAAAAATGGGGGGGGGGCTGGAGAGATGGCTCAGTGGCTAAGAGCATTGCCTGCTCTTCCAAAGGTCCTGAGTTCAATTCCCAGCAACCACATGGTGGCTCACAACTATCTGTAATGAGGTCTGGTGCCCTCTTCTGGCCTGCAGGCATACACACAGACAGAATATTGAATACATAATAAATAAATAAATAAATAAATAAATATTTTTTAAAAATGTAAAAAATGTGTATGTTGTGGCATGTGTACCTGCGTCCAGGCACCTACAGAGGCCAGGGGAGGGCGTCAGATTTCATGGAGCTGGAGTTACAGGTGGCTGTGGGTACTGGGGACCAGACCGGGGTCCTCTGGAAGAGTCACCTTTCACACGGTCCTTCTCTGGCCACCAGTACTTTAGACTAACCAAGCAGAGGACAGACAAGTGACGCTTGTCCTCATCTGGTAAGAACACATTTATCAGTGTGCCCCATGGCAGACGTGTGTACCTTCCTTGTCTGGATTCTGTTCACTGCTGTAATGACTGTTGAATAAAATGAAGGACTTGAGGTTGCTTACAGAAGTGTCCCTGGAGGTGAAGTCGCATTGTGGGGACTTGCGGGCTGAACAGGGACCAGAGTCTGACAAGGGACAGGGATGATAAGGATACCCCTGCCTAGAGTCTACTCCTTGATGACCCAGCTCCCACTCTTCAGTCCTCAACAGCACCACAGCAGGAGATGGTGCCCCAGCTTCCTGTATTATCAGATTACTCGGGAGGAAGGGATTGGGAGAGAAAAATCCCATACTGCCAAATAGGGCAGCTGCCACCTTCAGCCAAGTCACCCTGTGGCCTCCACCTGACTTTTTGTTTTGTTTTGTTTTCCAAGACAAGGTTTCTCTATATAACAGCTCTGGCTGTCCTGAACTCACTCTGTAGACCTGACTGGCCTGGAAGTCACAGAGATCCACCTGCCTCTGCCTCCCAACTGCTGGGATTAAAGGTGTGCACCACCACCCCTCCTCCCACTACCCCAATTCGACTCTTTTACCTCCCTCCATAAACAGCTACATCCAGATTAGGTCTTGGGGCCCCAAGATGGCCTCTCCTTGGCAGACAGTAGGCCCTAGATTGCAGGGCGGAACCATACTACCTGAATACCCACCGACCATAGGTAAGTAGCGCTGAACCCAGCAACACGCTGCCCACCTGCCTGGACTGACTGCCTCAGCACGGGCCAGGTGATGTACGACCCACTGTCCTGCCAGGAAGTGACAGCAGATGAATGGGCAGGGCCGGGGAGCAGGCTCAGAGCCAGGTGCTGTGAGCAGTAGGAGGCAGACGCCTGGCTCTGGAAAAACCATTCCGGGAACGTCACCTCCCTGACCCAGGGCAAGATGGGAGGCAGGGACTGTCTTGGGCATGATGCCCATGTACTAGTCTTTAATGTGGGGCAGTGCAGGAAGCGAGAGTCGCGGGGGGGGGGTTCTTGACCTCAACTTCCTCCTCTATAAGATGGCCAACAAGGAGCCACTGAGAGACAGCCCCCAGACTTAGGCCTACTGCAATCCAATACTCCAAGTCCCGGTCTCTAAAACTCTGTTTCTCCCTCTTTGCACCTCTGAATCTGAACCCCCTCCCTTGGCTATGGAGAATCAGGCCCAGATATCCCCTAATGCCCCCCCCCCATCTTTCAAATTGGACACTTAGGAAGAGGACTTGGCAAGGTCAGGGCCGAACTGAGGAGACTCCGTGCGGTGGGATTTGAAAGGAGCCCTCTCCCCACTGCAGTCCCCGAGTACTAAGTGCCAGTTGCCTTTGATGCCCAGCAGGGATAAGGGACAATCAGGGCATCGCTGGG